CATGTCCCAACCAGGTATGAACATACATACACACAACCTAGGTATGTGCCCTGACTGATAATTGATTCCGCAGCCTTGTGGTATATGGGAGAATGCTCCAACCACCTGAGCCATACTGGCCAGGGCAATAATGTACAACTTTTAGATGTGTGTGTATGAGGGGGGACCCCAAAAATGGAATTTATTTATTAAAAATTGTTTTTATTCTTTCACGTTTAAAGTTAGGTCACCTTCAAAGTACTCTACATTTGATGCAATACACCTATCAAGATATTTTTCCCACTGTTTAAAATAGCTTTTGAAGTCATCGATTTGATGCCTTTTAGTACTTCTTTCATTTTTTATTTCACCTCTTCCACATCAGCAAAATGTTTCCCTTTGAAGACTTTATTTATCCAGGAAAACAAAAAAAAAAAAGTTGCTGGAGGAAAGATGGGATGAATAGGGAGGTTGGGGCATGGGGGGCATGCTGATTTTGGTCAAAAACTGCTGAACAGTCATTGCAGTGTGGGCAGGTGTGCCCATTTATCGCCCATCTTGAAATAAACACATTGAAAGAGTTTTCAAAAAAAAAATCACTGAAGCTGAATGCATCCTCTCACAACAATGCCAGCTAGTAAACTGATACAGATGGGTTCCTAGAACACTTACCTAGTGGGGGAACCTGTACTACAAGAGGCCTGTCCTATAGAATGTAATTCTGGTTTTTGAGGGGGAGTCCCCCCCATCTGTAATATAAAACACTACATAAATATCTACTCACTGGGTTGTACACCTGAAACTAATACAGGGGTGGGCAAAAGTAGGTTTACAGTTATCTGCATGAAAAGTAGTACAATAATTAATAAATAATAATACAATAAACTGTTCCACTTACTTACACCTATAAACCCAGTTTTGTCCACCCCTGTATAATATTGCATGTCAACTATAATTAAAAAAATAGAAATTATTTAAATGTTAGAGTTGGGCATTGATTTTGAAAAATCTCTAGGAATTAAATCAATGTATTCCATTTGGTTTTTTATGTATGCATAATAGTGAACTTGATTAAAATATATGTTTAAACATCAAAAAACTGTGGCACATTTACAGAGTGGGATACTATGCAGCAGAAAGAAAAAAAGGAACTCCTACCCTTCGCAACAGCATGGATGGAACTGGAGAGCATTACATTAAGTGAAATAAGCCAGGTGGCGAAAGACAAATAGCATATTATCTCACTTTTAACTGGAACATAACCAACAAAAGAAAAAAGCAAGCAAAATATAACCAGAGACATGGAGCTAAAGAAAAAACTGTAGTAACCAGAGGTGAAGGGGGAGGAGGATAACAGAGCAAAGAAGGGGAAGGGTCAGTCATCAAGGAACATGTATAAAGGACCCATGTACAAAGACAACAGAGGGTGGAGGATTGAATATGGAAGGTGGGGGTGGGTAGGGCAGGGGAGAGTAATAGAAGAAAAAGGGGACAAATGTAATTAAACAACAATAAAAAATAAACATAAAATTAATAAAACCCTACACCCAGATCATACAGAATATACGGAGTACTTTTTCTCAAGTACCTATGGAACATTGACAAAAATTGAACATATACTAGTGTACAAAAACAACAATCTCAGTAGGTTCCTTAAAATAAAAATATTGCAAGCAACACTGATCACAATCAATAAAGAAATTTAAGAAATAAAAATTGACAAACTGATCATAAATTTCATATGAAAATTTAAAAGGCCTAGAATAGTCAAAGCAATTTTGAAAAAAAGGGGACAAGATATGCCTTAGCTAATTTCAAGACTTATAAAGTTACAGTTTTCAAGACAGAGATTTTTATAAAGACACAAACACACACATGAGACAAAACAGAGTCTAGAAATGACCCACACATATATGGTCCATTGATGTCTGAGAAAGGTGTCAAGGATATTCAGTGAGGAAAGATTACCCTTTTCAACAAATGGCTCTGGAACAATTGGACAGTCATACTGAAAAAAAATTCATTGTTCTCCATTGGCAAGAAAATCTCAGATATTCCCGAATAGCAGCTGCTCCTTTGAGAAAGAAGAACAAAGTAGGAGGGATCACAATACCTGATATCAAACTGTATTACAAAGCCACTGTAATCAAAAAAGCCTGGTACTGGCATAAAAACAGGCACATAGACCAATGGAACAGAACAGAGAGCCCAGAAATCAACCCAACCCTCTACAGTCAATTAATATTCCACAAAGGGGGCAGTAACATAAAATGGAGTAAAGATGGCCTCTTCAGCAAATGGTGTTGGGAGAACTGGACAGCTACGTGCAAAAAAATGAAACTTGAGCACCAACTTACACCATACACCAAAATAAATTCAAGGTGGATAAAAGACTTAAATATAAGCCGTGACACCATTAAAGTCCTAGAGGAGAACATTGGCAAGAAAATCTCAGATATTCCACGCAGCAACATTTTTACCAATATGTCCCCTAGAGCAAGGAATATAAAGGAAAGAATAAACAAATGGGATCTCATCAAAAGAAAAAGCTTCTGCATGGCTAAAGAAAACAGTATTAAATTAAAAAGACAACCAACTGTATGGGAAAACATATTTGCCAATGATACCTCAGACAAAGGTTTAATCTCCAAAATATACAAAGAACTTACACGACTCCACTCTAAGAAGACATTGAACCCAATTAAAAAATGGGAAAAGGACTTGAACAGACACTTCTCTAAAGAGGACATACAGAATATCCAGAGACACATGAAGAGATGCTCAATATCGTTAGCTATCAGAGAGATGCAAATTAAAACCACAATGAGATACCACTTTACACCAGTCAGGATGGCTATAATAGACAAAGCAACAAACAACAAATGTTGGAGAGGGTGTGGGGAAAAGAAACTGTTCTGTGACTCTTTGACACATAAGAACAACACAACAGTTGATGTATTAAGATACAATAGTTGATGGGATTAAGGTGAAAATTAGGATGAAAATGAGAATGTTTGAATGAATTTTATGTGAAGTAGTTACATATCCTTCATCTAGATGTATTATTGATTTGGATACTATGTCTGACTGGGAAATACTTTCTATCTAGTATTGCAAAACAGAAGCAATGTAAGTTTACCCTTTGGCCCATATTACTTGCACATGAGAAATGAGAATCTTTAGAACTGTTCAAGTCCATCCAAAGAAGTTTTTTTTTAATTTTTAAAAATATTTTATTTATTTGTCTTTAGAGGGGAAGGGAAGGAAAGAGGGAGAGAACATCAATGTATGGTTGCCTCCTGTGGGTCCCTGGCTGGGAACTGGCCTGCAACCCAGGCATGTGCCCTGACTGGGAATTGAACCACGATCCTCTGGTTTGCAGGCCTGCGCTCAATCCACTGAGCTACACCGGCCAGGGTTACTTTTTATTTTGAAGCAGTATAGAATACATGATGGACAAAAAGAGATTACCACTTTAATTAATGACATGTCAGAAGCTGGAGTGCTGGTCCAACAAATTCTCTTTAGAATTCTCTTTAGAATAGACCTGTGTGGCCCATGAAAAAGATGGATGGCTCAGGGAGACTAACAAGACTTAAATAAATTAGTATTGCATACAGCATCAGTAGTTCCTGATATGGTTCAACAGTGAAAATAAAGGAAGCTAAAGGAGACTGGTTCTCAGTGACTGATTCTACAAATGCTTTTTTCTCTGTTACAATATTGGAAAACAGTCAACTGCCATTTGCTTTCACATGGGAAGGATCTCAATTTACAGTTATTGTACTGCCAAAGTAGTATTTGAATTCAATAGTTGTCATAATTCAACTGTCATAATTTGGTTAGAAAAGATTTGAACTTGATACAGGTCCAAAGTATAGTAACAGATTTCATTGATGACATCATGATAATATCAGAAACTGAAGCTCAAGCTAGACTTAAATGCAATAGTGACACACATTTATCAACAGAAGCTTGTTGATAAATGCAATAAAAATCCAAGGGCCCAGGGAGTGAAGAAGTGAAATTCTTAGGAATAATATCCTGGGTAGGAGCCATCTATGACACTCCACAGACAATCAAAAATAAACTGCTGTTGTTGCCTACCCTTGGTATGAAGCAAGGAACAACACCTGATCAGTTACTTGAATTTCACAGGATACACATTCCACATCTGCAAATATCACTAGCTCCTCTCCATAAAACTACATAAAAGAGGTCATATTTGAATACAGCCCTGAAAAAAACATAACCTATGTCTGAACAACAATCCACAACAGCTCACCCTGGCTGCTGTGGCTCAGTTGGTAGGAGCTTTGTCCCATAGACCAAAAGGCTGTGGATTAAATCCCAAGTCAGGGTGTGTACAAGAGGGCAACCAGTTTCTCTCCCCTTCCCCCCTCTCTCTCCCTCACCTTCTACCTTTCTCTCTAAAAGCAATGAAAAAATGTCCTTAGGTGAGGATTTTTTTTTAAAAAAAGCAATAGTTCTCTTGATGCCTTTGGACACTCATGCATGATCCACACTTAGACATGATTCTCAAAGTGTGTGCAAGTTGGACTAACGAAGATGGGAGCCCATAGGCCCATGACCAAAATGACCACAGTGACAAGGATGAAGGTTATGCATGGATTTAACAACATGGACTTCCAGTCACCAAGGGTGATCTGGCTACCTCAGAGAGCCTAATTTGCCAACAGCAAAGAACAACACTGAATCCCTGATATGGTACCATTCCCCAGGGTGATCAGCCATCTATCTGGTGGCAGGTTGATTCCATTGGATCACTTCCATCATGGAAGGAGCAGCACATTATTCTTATTGCAATAGACAGTTACTCTGGATATGGATTTGCCTTCCCTGCATACAATGCTTCTGCCAAAACTGCCATCTATGGCCTTACAGAATGCCTTATCCACCATCATGGTATTCCACATAGCATTGCTTCTGATCAAGAAACTCATGCCATGGCAAATGAAGTGCAGCAATGGATCCAATCTCATGGAATTCACTTGTCTTACCATGTTCCCCACCATCCCAAAGCAGCAGGCTTGATAGAATGGTGGAATGGCCTTGTGAAGACTCAAGCAGGCCTGTGAAATAACATGGAGTTCCTGCAGATCCTGAAGTACAAACTGTAGAAGTCAGTGGCCACCGTAGCTTCTGCAGCTATATGCAAATTTTCTTCAGGGCAAATCCTGTTGGTACATTAGTGGGGGAAGACAAAAATGAAAACGAACACTATGAAGATAACAAGCAGTTGTTTGGTTGTCACCAATGTGTTATATATACAGTATTTCTCCTCTCCCCTTATCCACGGGATACATGTTCTGGGACCCCCCAGTGGATGCCTGAAACCACAGATAGTGATATAGCCACAAGCCAAAGAACAACCTGAACTGCTAGAAGCTAGAAGAAGCAAGGAAGGATTCTCCTCTAGAGCCTTCAGAAGGACCATGGCTCTGCCAACACCTTGATTTCAGACTTCTGGCCTCCAGAACTACAAAATAATAAATATTTGTTGTTTAAATCTAAGTTTTTGGTCATTAGTTATGGCATACCTGAAAACTAATACAAATTGTATTGTGACATGAGGTACTATAATAAATACCTAAAATGTGGAAGTGATTTTGGCTTGGGATAATTTGTAGAATCTGGAAGAATTTTGAGGTGTGTGACAGAAAAAGCCTGGATTGCCTTGAAGAGACTATTGGAAGAAATATGGACATTAAAGGCACTACTGCAAAGGCCTCAGAAGGGAAAGAGAAAAACAGTAGAGGAAGCCTCTATCATCTTAGAGAATATGCGTATTATTATGAGCAGAATGTTAATAGAAATATGGCCATTAAAAGTGCTTCTACAGTGAGATTTCAGATGAAAATAAGGAACACATTATTAGAAACTGGAGGAAAGGCTACCCTTGTTATATAGTGGCAGAAAATATGACAGATTATGTTCTATGGTTGTGTGGTAAATAGAACTTATAAGGAATTAACTTGGATATTTAGCTGAAATATTTTCAAGCAAAGTATTGAAGGTATATCCTGGATTTGTCTTGCTGCTTATAGTAAAAGGTGAGACAAATGAACCATATTGAAGAAGAAACTATTAAGGAAAAAGGAACCAACACTTGATGATTTGGGATATTCTTGGCCGACCCATATTGTAAAGAATGCTAAAATTAGAAAATTCAGTGTTGGGAACTAGTGTTATGGAGAGAAAGTCAAGAGTGTGGCTAGAGAATCTTTTCCTGAAGAGATTAGGTATATGACTCCTGGACCTACTGAACCATCTAGGAATAGAGATGGGATTATCTAGTAAAGATCTCTTGTCTCATGGGAACACACACAAGATAGCTACAAGGCTTTTGAGAAACACTTCATGCTTGAACTGAAAGGGACAGACATAGGACAAAATGAGAGAAGGCTGTTAGGCTTCCAAAATTTTGTAGGTAGGAAAACTTGTGATGGAACTACTTAGCTGTAAACATATGCTACTTTGCAAAAAAAGGAAGAATTACTTTAAGAGCAGAGGCTTGGATGCAGAGTCAGAGGGTGGAGATGCAAGCCCAGAGGTGGAAGCCAATGGAATAGTAGGAAGTGCAGGGGTTGAAAGTGTTGCCACAGATCCAAAAGATAGAGCCACCACAGCCCCAGAGGGCAGAGAATATGCCACAAAGAACTAGTTTCAGGCCTTGTGTATGGATGTAGTTGTGAACAAAACTAACTCCATCTTTGTGTCCCTGATTTCTTTTCTCTTCACATTTTTCATGCTGTGAACTTTGACCAACCTCACTATTCTCAACCAGCATGCCAAAGCCTTACAGTTAATCATTATCTGTTTCTCAAACCTATACAATGTGGCTGTAAAGATTCTTGTCAGTAATGGCCTGAATGGCATGACAACTGAGATAAATATCAAACCAGTGTTAGTGTCCATTCTAAGTAGTCATCTATCACAAAACCACCGGGAGGTATAGTTCCTGGCACATACTGCATTCTTAGTCCCTTTGTCTTGTCAATCATTAATACCTAAGGTATACTATAAAAATATACTGTAACAGCAGTGTGATAGCAAAGAATATCTGCTCATAATGCTGTGTCACCTGTCTACTCCAATCCTATCCCTGTAAGGAACTTACCTTATAATAAACTCTTTTATGATCTGTGGAATTGGCTGCATCATATTTTTGGTCTGAAAAAATCCTCTCATTACAGTGGTTACTACACTGGTATTCTACCCTCAGATACCTCAAAACCTAATGGAGCCCTGGCTGATGTGGTTCTGTGGATTGAGCGCTGGCCTGTGGATCAAAGGGCTGCAGTTCAATCTCTGGTCTGGGGCACATGCCTGGGTTGCAGGCCAGGTCCCCAGTAGGGGGAACATGAGAGGGAACCACACACTGATGTTTTTCTACCTCTCTTTCTCCTTCCCTTCCCCTCTCTAAAAACAAACAAACAAACAAACAAATCTTTAAAAAGGAAATCTAATGGAATTGCCATGGTGAATTGCGTATTTGCTTTATTCCTTCCAATTTCTCCTTTTTGGAATGGGAATGTCTATTTTATGCCTGATATACCATTGTATCTTGGATAACCAGTTCTCTCATTTCACAGATTCACAGATGGAAAGAAAGTTTGCCCCAGGATGAATCATACCCAGAGTCTCAACCCATCCATACCTGACTTAGATGATTAAATAGTAAGATCTAGTGCTTTTTGATCTGATGATACTTAGATGAGATTCTGGACTTAGATTTGATGCTATAATGGGTTAAGATTTAAGAATGTTGGGATGTGGTGCATTTATTTTGTACGTGTGACAAATGTGAATTTGGAGATTAGAGGATGGACTATAATGGGTTGAATGATGGCCCCCCAAAAAATATGTCCACATGCTAACACCCAGATTCTGTGAACATTACCTTATTTTGCAAAAATGATCTTTGCATATGTTGTTAAGGATCTTAAATTGAGATCATCCTGAATTACCTGGGTGGACCCTAAATCCAATGACAAATGTCCTTAGAACAGCAGAGGGGAGGGGAGTGATGCTGTGGTTCCCAGGCACCATTCAGGTCACCATCACACTGGCCAAGATGAGCAGCATGGTCTTCATGGTGTTTGTGACAGCTAATGAGGAGCAGTCTACACAGATGTCTGCAAGTTGGGAAAATGACAAAGTGACAGAAGCATCCTCAAACAGTTCTGTTGCTGTTAAAAATCAATATCAAAATATACACTCACTAAAAGTTGAGACACCAGTTGCAAATGGGAACCAGTCAGAAAATTTAATCTAGCCCCTATTGGCGTGGCTCAGTGGGTTGGGCATCACTCTGCATACTGAAAGAGCTCTGGTTCAATTTTCATTCAGGGCACATGTGTGGGCTGCAGGCCAGGTCCCCACAGCCCACACATGTGGGTATGTGAGAGGCAGCCAATCAATGTTTCTCTCTCTCTTTCTCCTTCCCTTACCCTTTCTCTAAAAAATAAATTAATTAATCTTTTTTTAAAAAAGAATGTTTACTCTGTTTCCACTCCTCATTTGAATCCTATAACACTTCTAAAAACTCTCAGTCCAAATTTTGTGATACACCACCCTCCTCTCTTAATACAAAATCATATATTTAAACAGGAGGAGAAAATTCAGGACATGCTACTCCCTCTGAGAAGCCTACTAGATGTTTAAATAAGAGACCTCTCCAGTTAAAAAGAATAATTTAAGAAAAAGAAAATAAAAACTATGAACAGTAAAATGACAACAAACTCACAAATGTCAACAACTAAATCTAAAAAACAGAAACAAAAACAAACTAAGCAAACAATGAGAACAGGAACAGAATTACAGAAATGAAGATCACATGGAGGTTATCAGTGGGGAGGGGGAGAATGGGGAAAAGATACAGGGAATAAGAAGCATAATTGGTAGGTACAATATAGACAGGGGGGAGGTTAAGAATAGTATAGGAAATGGAGAAGCCAAAGAGCTTATATGTACAACCCATGGACATGACCTAAGAGGGGCGGGGGGATGCTGGTGGGAGGGGAATAAAGGAGAGAAAAAATGGGACAACTGAATAGCATCATCAACAAAATATATTTTTCAAAATAGAGACCTACCCAGAACCTCACTGTCAGAGTGATAAAACTAACCAAAACACTTGAAGAAAGAAAAGTGAAAGAACAAAGGGAGATTAAGAAGGAAATTGAGAGAGACATCCAGTCAAGATGGAGATGTACGTAAACACAGCTTGCCTCCTTGCTAGGCAAGCTATAATTTTTGCTAGACTAAAAACCAACCAATACCCAGAATCATCAGAAAATCAAGCTATATGAAGTCTGACAACCAAGGAATTAAAGAAGTCATATCATCCAGATGAGTAGGAGAGGTGGAAACACAGACATGCTGAACAGGTGGTCCCACACCCACCACCCAGGTGGTGGATGAAAATCAGGAAGGATACCTCGGGAGCAAGGGATGCTAGCCCCACACCAACCACCCAACCCAGGGTTCCATGGCCAGGAAGATAAATCTCCATAACTTCTGGCTGTAAAAACCAGTGGGGCTTGGGGCAGAGGAAGAAACTGCAGAATTCTCAGGAGTCTCCATTCAAAGGGCCCACAACGTACTTTGGACTTACACAGACTCACTCCCTCTGAGTTCCAGCACTGGAGTAGCAGCAGGAAGGGCACCAGTGGCATACAGGGAAAAATCGAAGTGTCTGGCATGAGAGTGTCTGGCAATCGAAGTGTCTGGCATGAGAGTGAGAGAGTTTTCCCAGAGAAAACTCCAGAGGCCAGGCAGCGGTCATTGTCCCCTTTCTGAGCCCTCCCCCACACAGAGCCACAGACTGGTGATACCATACCCAAGACTCCATCAACTTGGTTCACATGGGTTGTCCTGCCCTGGCGATTACTTAAGGCTCCACCCCATCCAACTTACTGGTACACTTATCTACAACAGGCCATGCTATTAACACAAGGAGTCAAAGCAGCCCTACCTGATACATAGAAAAAACACAGGTAGGTGCCAAAATGAGGAAACAAATACTGCCCAAATGAAAGAACAGAACAAAACTCCAGAAAAAGAGCTAAACAAAATGAAGATAACTATCAGATGCAGAGTTCAAAACACTGGTTTAATAACCAGTGCTCAAGGAACTTTAATGATTTTGAAGTTGGGTACTTCAAAATCATTAAAAAAATACCCAGGAAGAAATGAACGTTATACTAAGTGAAATTTTAAAAACTTTAAAGGGAACCAACAGTGGAGTAGATGAAGCCAAGAATCAAATCAATGATGTGGTACATAAGGAAGAAAAATACATTCAATCAGAACAGCAAAAACAAAAAAGAATTAAAAAAAAAAACCCCAAGATAGCTAAGGAGCATCTGGGAAAATTTCAAACGTGCCAATACTCAAATCATATGGGTGGCAGAAGGAGAAAAGGAAGAGCAAGAAATGAAAACTTATTTGAAAAAATAATGGAGAATTTTCATATTTTTGGTGAAGGAAATAGGCTTCCAGGAAGCCTTTGATTGCTGGATATTGACTTTGTATCCTGCTATTTTGCCAAATTCATTTATTAGATTAAGCAGTTTTTGGGTGCAGTCTATAGGATTTTCCATGTACACTATCATGTCATCTGCAAACAGTGACAGTTTTGTTTCCTCCTTTCCTATTTGGATGCCTTTTATTTCCTTTTCTTGTCTGATCACTGTGGCTAAAAATTCCAATACTATATTGAATAGAAGTGGTGAAAGTAGACAACCCTGTCTTCTTCCTGATCTTAGTGGAAAAGATTTTAGTTTTTGTCCATTGAGTATGATGTGGGCTGTAGGTCTCTCATATATGGCTTTTATTATATTGAGGAATGTTCCCTCTATTTCCACTTGGCTGAGTGTTTTTAACATAAATGGGTGTTGTACTTTATCAAAAGCTTTTTCCACATCAATTGATATGATCATGTGATTTTTGTCTTTGCTTTTGTTTATATGATGTATTACATTTACTGATTTGTGAATATTGAATCATTCTTGCATCCCTGGGATGAATCCCACTTGGTCATGGTGTATGATCTTTTAAATGTATTGTTGGATGCAGTTTTTGTTGAGGATTTTAGCATATATGTTCATCAGTGATATTGGCCTGAAGTTTTCTTTCTTTGCTGTACCTTTATCTGGTTTTGAGATTAGGATGATGCTGGCTTCATAAAAAGAGTTTGGGAGTCTTCCATCCTTTTGTATTTTTTGGAATAGTCTGTGAAGAACAGGGGTTAGCTCTTCCTTAAATGCTTTGTAGAATTCTCCTGTGAAACCATCTGGTCCAGGGCTTTTGTGCATCAGGAGATTTTTGATTACTGCTTCAATTTGCTGTTATTGGTCTATTCAGGCTTTCTGCTTCTTCTTCATTGAGTTTTGGAAGATTATATTTTTCTACAAATGTGTCCATTTCACCTAAGATTTCAAATTTCTTGGCATACAGTTCTTTGTAATAATTTCTTACAATCCTTTGTATTTCTGTGGTGTCAGCTGTAATCTCTCCTCTTTCATTTCTGATAGTGTTTATTTGGGTCCTCTCTTCTTTTCTTCATGATCCTGCTTAAAGGCTTGTTGATTTTGTTTATCTTTTCAAAAAACCAGCTCCTGAATTCATTGATCCTTAGAATTGTGCTTTTAGTCTCTATGTCATTTAATTCTGTTCTGATCTTGGTTATTTCCTTTCTTCTACTTGCTCTGGGCTCCTCTTTGTTGTTGTTCCTCGAGTTCTTATAGGAGTAGAGTTAGGTTGTTTGTTTGAAATGTTTCTATCTTTTTTAGGTAGGCCTGTATTGCTATCAACTTCCCTCTCAGGGCTGCCTTCACTGTGTCCCATAAGTTTTGGATTGTTGTGAGTTCATTTTCATTTGTTTCCAGAAACTTTGTGATCTCTTCCCTAATTTCATTCTTGACCCATTCGTTGTTTAATAGCATGCTATTCAATCTCCATGATTTTGAGTGTTTTTGGGTCTTTTCCCTTGGGGTTAGTTTCCAGTTTCAGTCCCTTGTGGTCAGAGAAAATGCTTGGGTTGATTTCAATTTTCTTAAATTTGTTGAGGCTTGTTTTGTGCCCTATCATGTGGTCTATCTTTGAAAATGTCCCACGCACATTTGAAAAGAACGTGTATTTAGCTTCTTTAGGATGAAGGGCTCTATATATATCAGTTAAGTCCATTTCATCTAGGGCATTGTTCAATGCCACAATATCTTTGTTGATATTTTGTTTGGAAGATCTGTCCATTTATGACAGTGTGGTGTAAAAATCCCCTACTATAATTGTGTTGCTGTCAATATCTTTCTTGAAGTATTCTTAAGATTTTCTTTATATATTTTGGTGCTCCTATGTTTGGTGCATATATATTTACAATATTTATGTCTTCTTGGTGGATTCTTCCCTTGAGTATTATGAAGTGACCTTCTGGGTCTCTTTTTATGACCCCTTTTTTGAAGATTATTTTGTCTGATATGAGTATTGCTACCGGCTTTTTTTTCCTGGCTGTTTGCTTGGAAAATTTGTTTCCAGCCTTTCACTTTTAGTCTGTGCAGGTCTTTTGTCCTGAGGGGGGTCTCTTGTAGGCATCATATGTGTGGGTCATGCTTTCTTATCCATTCAGCTATTCTATGTCTTTTAAGTGGAGCATTTAATCCATTTACGGTTAAGGTTATTATTGATGGGTATTTATTCATTGTCATTTTTATACCTGTGTTTCTCTTTGTGTTTCTTTTCCTTCCTTTCCTTAAAGTAGTCCTTTTAGTATTTCTTGCAGAGCTGGTTTGGTGGAGGTGTATTCTTTTAGACTTTTTTAGTCTTGAAAGCTATTTATTTGGCCTTCTATGTTGATTGAGAGCCTTGCTGGGTAAAGTAACCTTGGTTACAGGTCTCTGGTTCTCATTACTTGGAATATTTCTTACCATTCTCTTCTTGCTTGGAGCGTTTCCATTGAGAAGTCAGCAGCTAACTTTATTGGGGCTCCCTTGTATGTTACTTCCTGTCTCTCCCTTGCTGCCTTTAAGATTCTCTCTGTCTTGGAATTTTGCCATTTCAATGATGATGTGTCTTGAAGTGGGCCTCTTGGGGTTCCTCTTCATTGGGACTCTCTGTGTTTCCTGGATTTGTGTGACTTTTTCTCTCATCAAATTAGAAAAGTTTTCTATCATTACTTTTTCACACAGATTTTCTATCCTTTGCTCTTCTTCTCCTTCTGGTATCTCTATTATCCGGATATTATTACGATTCATACTGTCTTGCATTTCTCTTAATCCCTCTTCATTCTTTCTGAGGCTCTTTTCCTTTTCTTGCTCTTTCTGGGAGTTTTTTCCTACTTAGTCCTCCAACTCGCTGATCTGATCTTCTGCTTCATCAGTCCTGCTTTTGATTCCTTCCACTGTGTTCTTCAGTTCAGACACTGTATTCTCCATTTCCTCTTGGCTCTTGCTGATGGTTTCTATTTCCTTTTTCATGTTGATATAGTTTGCAGTGAGTTCATTGTAATTCCCCTGTAGTTTCTGGTAGCTCATTGTGAGCTCTTTGAACTTCCTGATAACCAGTGCTTTGAATTCAATATCTGATAGTTGACTTGCCTCTATTTCATTTAGCATTCTTCCTGAGGCTTCCTCCTTTCCTTTCATTTGGGGATTGTTTCTTTGTCTTCCCATTGTTTGTGAGACTCTTCTTGTTAGCTTCAGCTTCTTAAATTGATTTGTTCTGGCTTCCTGGGTTCATGGTGTGAACTTCTGTGGTATAATACCTGTGAGATTCAGTGGTATAGTCTCCTTGATCTCCCCAGCTCACTGTTCTTGGGCTATCCTTTACATTGGCTCTGAGTTTGTCTTTGGGTTTTGGTTGTTTTTGGGTCTTTCTTTTGTGGGTCCTTTCCCCCAGATGGTGAACTGATGGTCCCTCTGTCCACCACCCATTTTAATTTGTTGTACTGGTGAGGGTGGGCTGTGATGAGGGTAGTTCTTCTGTGTGTACAGGGTTTTGAGGATTCTCTTTTGCTCTTGTTCTGTTGTTTGCCCTGGGTAGTTTCTCCACTATTTATTTGTATTTCCAGATAGGCCTTGGATTGATGTTTGTGCGGTTTCCACTCTGTCCTTCACCTTCTTCTGTTGTTATCTGTTGGTGGTTCCTTTGTTGTCGGTTTTTCTCTTCCAGTGGGTATCCTGGTGTTCACTGCTTCCACCTACTCTCTTTTTTGTGTGTGTGTGATCAGTTGGAGGGGAAGGCAAAATGATTTATGACAGCAGGAGAGTATTCTATGATATTTACAGTAGCAGCCAGTAGAGAAGAGATAGGAGATCCTTTGACTATGTATAGTGATAGCCATATTCTTCAACCCAACTAGCCCCTTTTTAGAAAGGATGGAAAGAAGATAAGGCTATTGTTGGGGATGGAAGGTTTGTGAGTTGAATCTAAAAAGCAGTGAGGTTGTGGGAGGCCAGATTCTGAGGTAAGTTGAGAACAAAGGATGGTAAATAGGTGTAGTGTGAGAGAGAATAGAGTTAACTAACCACTACAGTAATATAGTTCAGGAAACAATGAAGTGGGCTAAGATCTGGGAGGGGTGCTGTGTAGTATTTACAATAGTATGTAACAGCTATTATTTACAGTAATATTAGAGCAACAGTCGTATGACAGAATCTATGAGATATCAAGATTAGGGAGTATTGGACCTTCAATAGTGTGCTAATGGAGCAAGGGGAAGTAAAGGACAGTAAATTAGCAATACACTGTGAATGAGGAGACACGGGAAACCTGTCAAATGATACAATATATCCAGCCAAGGCAAAGAAGAGTATACAGAAAGAGGAGAAATACAAAGATACTATTAAAATAAAATATGTAAGAATAATAATACAAATATGCAGTAACTTGTAGTTTCTCTGCTATAGGAAAGTGAAATTTGTCTCTCTGTCTGTACTGTTGGGATGCCCCCTCTTTGCGTCCAACTCTGGTCTTTTCGCAGTTCCAAGTTTTTTGTCTCACTTGTGGTGGGGGGGAAGGCAGTGGAAGGGAGGAAAAAGCAATAAGTTTGGAAAGAAAGGAAGAAGAAATAAAACAAGAAAGGCAGAAAGAGAGGGAAACAGTATTGAAAGATAAAACAATAATAAAGTTAAAAAATAAAAGATTATTTTAAAAAACACCTCTTTTTGTTTTCCAGCTGGCCAAACCAGGTTTTCTGGTCTCACTGGCTGCAGCAGGCTGAGGGATGATTGGTGTGGCCTTTCTTTCTTGTGGGTGTACTCAGCCGGTCTCGTGAGCACTATCCCAAGATCCAGAATGGCGCCTCTCCCCAGCACCCCACCAAGGGAATCCAGGTCCTTTTTATTTTTTAAATTTTTAAAAATTTTATTGATTATGCCATTACATTTGTTCTATTTCCCCCCCTTCATTCCCCTCCACCCTGCACATCCCTCCCCCACCATTCCCCCCTTTAGTTCATGACCACATATCTCAAGTTCTTTAGATTCTATATTTCCCCTACTATTCTTACCCTCTCCCCTATCTATTTTTTATCTACAGTCTATGTTACTTATTTTCTGTACCTTCTCCTCCCTTCTCCTTCTCCCACTCCCCTGTTGCTAACCCCTCATGTGATCTTCATTTCTATGGTTCACTCCTGATCTAGCTGTCCTCTTAGTTTGCTTTTGTTTTAGGTGTGGTTGTTAATAACTGTGAGTTTGCTGTCCTTTCATTGTTCATCTTTTTTAGAGCACTCTTTTCCCGGGAGTCACTGCCATGGGCTGGAGTGTGGGCGCATGCTCCTGGCCAGGCTTTCCTGGTCCTGCAGGCTTGGGTGCAAACCTTTCCCAATGCTACTGGGAACACTAGGGTGACTCTCAATTTTCCCAAGATGGAGACCACAGACTTCACGTGTGATCAAGGCCCCCGAGTTTGCCTCCTCTTGCCCATTCCTCTCTCCGACACTTTAAGCAAGCAGATCTCTCCCAGCATTTTTCAAACTGTGCCCGGCCAGGTAGGGAGGGAGCTGATGACCCTGCTCTCTTTGAAGGACCTTGCTGCCAGCCCTTAGTTCCCAAAGAGTCCATGGCAGTCCAGTTCCGGGCCCCTGGTGACCTGACCGGTGGAGGCAGCCTCAGCCTGCAGCCTCAGCCTGTGGTCTCTGCACTGTTCCCTTGGACCTTATTGATCTGCAGCCGTCTCCTCACTGTCTGGTCTTTCAGTATCCGCTACAATTTCTGGACTCCTATTTTCCTATATGCTGGGGCACTGTTGGCTATTTGCTGTGTTCCTCCGCAGATCGGCCAGGTTTTTCTCCCTTGCGTGGGAGGAAGCGGAATCCTCTTTGTCCTACTCTGCCTCCATCTTCTCCTCCTCCCATACATTTTATATAATACTGTATTATAAAACTACAGTATACTTGGAGATATTTAGACTTTGGTTGATAAAAAAAAGAAACAAAATACATATGTAAAATACTGAAGATGAAAAAATATGGAATGCCTCGGGAATTTGCATGTCATTCTTGCTCAGAGGCCATACTAATCTTCTTTGTATTGTTCCAATTGTAGTATATATGCTGCTGAAGTGAGCAGTGATTAGCAATTTCTTATTTCATAATGCTCTTCCTGCACAAAGTTCTTTGATAACATCATCAGAACACTCAAATTGTATACCACCCGTCAACTCAGAAATGAAGTGAACCAGCCAGAAGAGTGCTAGAAAAGCATGGGGAAAAATTCAAATGGAAGAGAAAGGTTGATGAAGTTCTCAGGGTGATGGTGATGAAAATACTTGGAATACAAATTCTACTCAACAAATGTAATGAGACTAGTACAAGACGTACAGTAATCATTGTTTGTCTTATGATTTAATTCAACTAAAATTCTATTGGGGAGGTAGGACTGCTTTAAATTTTTGAACTAATCTATATTTTCAAATGTTTCTTTAATCCTGCTTAGTGTGTGTAGGTTAAACTGGTCTAATTTAGGACAGTCAAGAGATAAAACTACTAAATAGCTGCAAAGTCCCTGCAAATGACAAACAACTATTAGAAGTCTAAAGAATCTAAAGGTCTGACAGAACTTTCCTCCATCACCTTCCTTATGCAGTGTTCATGTACCCATTATCCCTATACTCTCAGATGATATGTTTTGTTTAGAGATATTTTGCTCTAAAACTCTTAAGCCCACACAAAGTAACTGGCTTTTCAGAGTATATAATTTGATTCTTGGTCAGATGCATTTTAATTAACCACTCAGATAATAATTTATGTTTAGCCTTTCTCTTATGGCTCATCAACTGCAAGCACAATCTGGTAGTATTTAATCTTACTTAAACAACAAATGAAAAATCTTTTCAAAAGGAAAAAATACCTAGAGACCAGTAATAACCTTTATGACAATATTGTAATTGAAAATAATGCTTTTATCATCCATATTAAGATCTACAAAAACATTTCTTGACCTTCAGGTACAGAAAATTTTTACTATAGAAGAATTATTGATTTCTCTGTGGGGGCATTTTAATTACTGTGTCTGATTGCAATAAGTCTAGTCTTCAAAGTTTCTACCTGTTAAGTCTGTCAACTAGCATGCCTACCTTCTAAAACTTGTGTTGATATTTTCTTCTTTTCACTTCCTTTATCCTAATATTTATCTACTTATACTTATAAGCTCCTTAAAACCACAGGAAAACAAAGGCAGCAAGTAAATAAATGGCAATAAAACCTAGCTGGGAATGTAAGCATTTCCAACTCATGTTTGGAAGCTCTAGGAAGCAATAGTTGGGGAGGGTAGAATAACTGATGATAAGGAGAAAGTTGCCATGCATGGCTCAGGATCATCAGCCTCCAAACATTATTACCACGCAATGTGAAGAGGAAGACTTTTCACTGTCATCCACTGAATTCCTTACACTTTAATGATTCCTCTCCTGTGACACAAAAATTTAATTTCTGGAAAAATTTCTTTAACAGATAATCATGGACATGCATAAAAATCCATCAAGGAATTTCACCACCAAATTGTCATTTATAATGAAAACCTACTGCCATTGCACATGCTCAAAAGATGAAATGCTGTGTAACCATTAAAATTATGTAGAGATCTAGACATGGAAAAATATTTATGTAACACTCCCAGTGTTTCTTGTTTTTAAAAGAAGGCAACCATTTTTATTAGTTTTACTATATTATTCCATTATTTTGTAAATTATAGGACAAACCAAAAAAATAATTATGTTAATGTCATTATGACCCCTCTACCAAAAATTATAAAGTATATCAAAGATGTAAAAGTTCTGTAATTTTAATCTGAACTGGCAAAGAGCTCTGTATTCTTTTTCTCTTAAGAAGAAGTAAGCTTACCTCTGCTTCCAGAAAAAAAAATGTAAATGTACTTTTCTCTATTCTTCCTGCTAAGTACAACTAAAACCCTGACACTATATATAAAACAAAGAAGGGAAGACTCTGACAGTTGAAGAGAAAGCAGACCAGCCACAGACCTCAGAACCTGAGAAACAACATAGCAGTTGATTCCCACCCTGGCCAGTGTGGTTCAGTTGGTTGGGCATCACCCTGCGAACTGAAAGTCCTAGGTTTAATTCCCAGCCAGGGCACATGTCTAGGTTGTGAGTTTGGCCCTGGTTGGGGCACATATAAGAAGTAACCAATCGACGTTTCTCACTCCCATTGAAGTTTCTACCTCACATTGATGTTTCTCTCCTTCTCCCTCCCTTCCCTTCTCTCTAAAAATAAATAAATAAAGTTAAAAAACATAGCAGTCATTCCTTTCAGTTTGCTTTTTATCTCATATATCCCAGACTAGGTGCTGGAGAAGCTGGAAACCCAAAAATGCCAGTGGACACAAACAAATATAGCTCTAGGAAAGCCTGTTTTCTCAAGTCCAAGGACAAGCAAATGAACAACCTAGCAAGACAGAAGAAATTTTAAATAATAACTATCTTTCTCTAGCCAAGCATCATGGAAAAAATTATGGGTCATAACACCATCTCATCAGCAAAAGCCAAATTGGGAGCATATTATTTCCACTCTTATCTGGCTATAGTAAGGTGCTGCACCCGCTACAACACTGGTGTGATATAAGAAAAGATCAAGTAAGGGAAATAAGGCTCATCTGTTCTGGGCAGTAATGAGGCTCCTCATTCAGTGCTGGCAGTAGAGAAATCATGGGGAGGCTGGACTTCTACCCCAAATCAGCAGTAATAAGATATCCATCCTCCATCTCGCTGGAGTGGTGTCAGGGGAGGCCTGCTGGTCAAGGCTTTCATCACTGCCAAGGAGCAGCAAGCCCAAGCCCCCACCCTCCCATGGTATCAGTGGAGTAATGGGAAGCAGCAATTAGGCACTACTACTCCTTCCATCCAGGGAGAAACCAGGTGAGACAGTATAAAGCTAGAATTCCACCCCCACCCAGAAGTAGCTCTCCACCTTGGGTGTCAAGGGAAGCTAAATGGGAAACCTGGACCTCCCCTACATGGCTATAATGAAATGGTGCCTCGCCTTCCTCAGGTGGAGACCAGATAAAATAGGTTTAAATAAGAACCAACTTTAGCTCTGGCTGGTGTGGCTCAGTGGAGCTGGTTTGGACTAAGTGCCGGCCTGTAAACCAAAAGGTTGCTGGTTTGAATTCCAATACAGGGTACGTGCCTGGGTTGCAGGTCAGGTCCCCAGTTGGGGGTATGTGAGAGGCAATTGACAAAGATACTTCTCTCACACATTGGTGTTTCTCTCCCTCTCTTTCTCCCTCCCCCATCTCTAATATATATATATATATTTTTAAAGATTTTATTTATTTATCTTTAGAGGGGAGGGAAGGAGAGAGGGAGAGAAATACCAATGTATGGTTGCCTCTCGTGCATCCCCTGCTGGGAACTGGCTTGCAACCCAGGCATGTGCCCTGACTGGGAATCGAACCATGGTTGTTTGGTTCGCAGTCTCATGCTCAATCCACTGAGCTATACCAGCCAGGACTAAATAAATAAATATATATATATATATATATATATATATATATATATATATATTTTATAATTTTTTTAATTTTTTATTGATTATGCTGTTACAGTTGTTCTATTCCCCCTTTCATTCCCCTCCACCCTACCCCCATCCCCACCATTACCCCCCTTTAGTTTATGACCATGTGTCTCAAGTCCTTTAGATTCTATATTTCCCATGCTATTCTTGCCCCCCCCATCTATTTTCTATCTACTGTCTATGCTACTTATTTTCTGTACCTTCTCCCCTCTTCTCCCTCCTCCCACTCCCCTGTTGCTAACCCTCCTTGAGATCTTCATTTCTATGTTTCCACTCCTGATCTAGCTGTCCTTTTAGTTTGCTTTTGTTTTAGGTGTGGTTGTGAATAACTGTGAGTTTGTTGTCCTTTCACTGTTCATGTTTCATTAACTTCTTTTTCTTAGATAAGTCCCTTTAACATTTCATATAATAAGGGCTTGGTGATGATGAACTCCTTGAATTTGATCTTATCTGAGAAGCACCTTATCTGTCCTTCCGTTCTAAATGAAAGTTTTGCTGGATAGAGCAATCTTGGTTGTAGGTCTTTGGTTTTCATGACTTGGAATACCTCTTTCCAGCCCCTTCTTGCCTGTAAGGTCTCTTTTGAGAAATCCGCTGACAGTCTGATGGGGACTCCTTTGTAGGTGACTGTCCCCTTAGCTCTTGCTGCTTCTAGGATTCTCTCCTTCATTTTAATCTTGGCTAATGTAATTATGATGTGCCTTGGTGTGTTTCTTCTTGGATCCAACTTCTTTGGTACTCTCTGAGCTTCCTGGATTTCCTGGAAGTCTATTTCCCTTTGCCAGATTGGGGGAAATTCTCCTTTATTATTTGTTCAAATAAGTTTTCCACTGGTGGCTGTGCCTTTCCCCCTTCTGGTACCCCTATAATTCGGATGTTGGAGCGTTTAAAGATGTCCTGGAGGTTCCTAAGACTCTCCTCATTTCTTTGAATTCTTGCTTCTTGACTCTTTTCTGTTTGGCCATTATTTGCTTTCTTCTGGTCCACTCCATTGATTTGAGTCCCAGTTTCCTTTTCATTGCTATTGGTGTCCTGTGCAATTCCATTCATTTCAATTAGTTTCACCTTCATATATTTGTCTAATTTGTCGGTATAATCAACCAGTTCTGTGAGGATCCTGATCACCAGTGTTTTAAACTGTGCGTCTGAGAGTTTTGCTATTTCTTCATCGCTTAGATCTATGGGCTCTGGGGCTTTGAGATATTCTTGCGACATTTTTTGGTCTGTTCTGGCCCTTTAAGTGTGAGAAGTGGCGCCTTGGACTCCCAGGTCGCTGGGTTGTGACGCTGTATGTGGGGGCGTGGTCAGAGCGGGGAAATGGCGACCCCCTCTGCTGTTTCTCACAGCTGGGTGAGGATTAGCGTCTTAGGTGGTTCACCTGGGCCGGGCCACTCAGAGTCGCTGGGTTATGACGCTGCATGTGGAGGTGGGGTCAGAGCAGGGAAATGGCGGCGCCCTCCACTGCCGCTTGTCGCGGGGACCCGTCTGGCCCTGGTCCAACCGCCCACTCCTTCGCCTGTCCGCCAGCGCACAAATGCGCGACCACAGTCAACACGCAGCACCGCTCCCCCACTGTCTCCCCCGCCGTCGCTTGCCTGGTCGCTCGCTCGGTCGCTCACTAGGTCCAACCCTGCACCTGGATTCCGTGCGTATGGATTCCGCGCGCGTGAGTCCGTCCAGCTGAGTTTTCCTGTGCAATCCGGCTTCACCAGCCGCTGGTTTCGCCCCTTACCGGTCAGGCTGAAGAATTTCTTGTTAACGGACTTCCGAAATGTTCAATTTTCCATGTTCTGGCTGTGTTTTCTGTTGCTAATATTTAGTTGTCTCTAAACTTGGTTGTGTGAGAAGGCATGGCACATCCACCTATGCCTCCATCTTGGCGGAAGTCCAATAAACATATTACTCCTTAAGAATCAGCCCTGGCTGGTGTGGCTCAATGGATTGAGGGCCAGCCTGTGATCCAAACGGTTGCCAGTTCGATTCCCTGTCAGGGCACATGCCTGGGTTGCAGGCCAGGTCCCCAGTAAGAGGCACATGAGAAGCAACCACACATTGACAATTCTCTCCCTCTCTCCCTCCCTTCCCCTCTATCTAAAAATAAATTTAAAATATTTTTAAAACTTAAGAATCAAATTCTAATAATACCAAAAGAGGCTAGGTTTCAGTTGAGAATCACTCATATCAAGGGCCACAAAAATCTCAAACTGAATGAAAAAGGAAGTACCAAGAATGAGATAACAGAGATAATTATCCAACAAAGATTTTGAATCAACCATCACAAAAATGCTTCCACATAGAAGTTGGTAGTTACAGAATAGCCATGGGGATGTAAAGTACAGTATAGTAAATTCAGTAGCCAGAGAACTTATACACATGACACATGGACATGAACAGTGGTGTGGGGACTGCCTGAGGGAGTGCTGGGTGGAGGGGGACAAAGGGGAAAAATTGGGATAACTATAATAATCAATAAAATATTATTTAAAAAACAAAAATGCTTCAACAAGCAGGTCTCAGCAAAAAACATAGAAGATGGAAATTTTAGACCTGAAAAATACGATAACCAAAATAAAAAATTCAGTGGATGGCCTCAACAACAAAACAGAGAGGAAAGAATCAGTGAAATAGAACACAGAAGAATAGAAACTTAAAAATGAAAACAAAAACTACACAAACAACTAGAACAGGAACAGAATCACAGAAATGGAGAACACATGGAGAGATTTCAGTGGGGAGGGGGGAAAATGGGGAAAAAGGTGCAGGGAAGAAGCATAACTGGCAGGTACAAAATAGACAGGGGGAGGTTATGAATAGTATAGGAGATGGAGAAGGCAAAGAAGTTATATGTACAATCCATGGACATGAACTAAGGGGGGGATGCTAGAGGATTGAGGGGTGTAGGGTAGAGGGTGGATAAAGAGAGAAAAGTTGGAGACTTCTGCCAAGATGGAGGCGTAGGTGGAAACACTCTGCCTTCTCTCACAACCAAGTTTAAAAACAACAAAGTTTTAGCAAAAAAAACCACAGCCAAACCACAGAAAATCGAACTATATGGAAGTCTGACAACAACAAACCCTTCAGCCTAACCAGTAAGAGGGGAAGAGCCAACAGCAGAGCGGGGTCGGGCAGGAAACACCCACCAGACCAACCGGGCTCGAGACCCAGGCACACAAGCAGCCAAGGGCAGATCCCAAGTGTGGAGTAGCAGTGGGTGGACCCACTGAGGGCTGAGCGCGGTCACACATTCACATGCAGATAAACTGTAAACCGGTGAAGGAGCAAGTAGTGAGGCCCCAGTGGCTGGGAGCAGCAGAGGGGACCGCTATTGTCCCTCTCTGACCCCGCCCCCACATACAGCATCACAAACCAGCAACCTGGGCAGACCTGCCCTAGTGAACACCTAAGGCTCCGCTCCTTCTATGTAAGAGGCACTAAACAGATCAAAACATGGCTCAAGAACAACTCAGAGCCCCAGAACTGATAAATCTAGGTGACGAAGAAATTGCCAAACTTTCAGATGCACAGTTCAAAACACTGGTGATCAGGATGCTCACAGAACTGGTTGATTTTAGTCACAAATTAGAGGAACATATGAAGGCTGAACTAATTGAAATGAAGTGCAATGCACAGGAAACCGATAGTAATGGAAAAGAAACTAGGACTCAAATCAAAGGAGTGGACCAGAAGGAAGAAAAAAATGACCAAACAGAAAAGGATGAAGAAACAAGAATTAAAAAAAATGAGGAGAGGCTTAGGAACTTTCAGGACATCTTTAAACGTTCCATCATCCGAATTATAGGGGTACCAGAAGGGGAATAGGAACAGCCACCAGTGGAAAACTTATTTGAACAAATAATAAAGGACAACTTCCCCATTCTGGCAAAGGAATTTCCTGGAGACTTCCAGGAAATCCAGGAAGCTCAGACAGTCCCAAAGAAGTTGGACCCAAGGAGGAACACACCAAGGCACATCATAATTACATTACCCAGTATTAAAATGAAGAAGAGAATCCTAGAAGCAGCAAGACATAAGGGGACAGTCACCTACAAAGGAGTTCCCATCAGACTATCAGCAGACTTCTCAAAAGAGACCTTACAGGCAAGAAGGGGCTGGAAAGAAGTATTCCAAGTCATGAAATCCAAAGACCTACAACCAAGATTGCTCTATCCAGCAAAGCTTTCATTTAGAATGGAAGGACGGATAAAGTGCTTCTCAGATAAGGTCAGGTTCAAGGAGTTCATCATCACCAAGCCTTTACTATATGAAATGTTAAAGGTACTTATCTAAGAAAAAGAAGATAAAAAAGATGAACAGTGAAAGGACAGCAAATTCACAGTTATTAAGAACCACACCTAAAACAAAAGCAAACTAAGAGGACAGCTAGATTAGGAGAAGAACCACAGAAATGGAGATCACATGGAGGGGTTAGCAACAGGGGAGTGGGAGAAGGAGAAAGGGGGAGAAGGTACAGAAAATAATTAGCATAGACAATAGGTAGAAAATAGATAGGGGGAGGGCAAGAATAGTAGGGGAAATATAGAATCTAAAGAACTTGAGACACATGGTCATAAACTAAAGGTGGGGAATGGTGGGGGAGGGGGTGTGCAGGGTGGAAAGGGAATGAAGGGAGGGAAATAGAACAACTGTAATGGCATGATCAATAAAATATATTTTAAAAGAGAGAGAAAAGTTGGGAAAACTGTAATAGCATAATCAATATAATATACTTTAAAAATTCAAATGATGAACCTATTGCTGTTAAAATTAGCAAGAAGATAGGGATGTCTGACATAATTGAAAATTGTTTTCCTGGCTTTGGCTCACACAATAGAAGATGAAACAATCAGAATAAGTATTGCAAAGAAATAAAAATGTAGCTTTATTTGCCGCAGATATGATGTCACATGTAGAAATTAGAATTCACTGGATAATTTCATAAGGGGCTAGGTACAAGATAAATTTATAAGAGCAGATAGTTTTTCCTCTATAACAGCAGTGATGAAGTGAAAATGGAAAAAAGACCCATTAGTAATGATAACAAGAAATATATATAACAAGCTTGTTTAAGGAACTGGACCTATAAAATTAAATTTAAAAAATTGACAAATATAAAACAATCACACAGACATACCATATCCCTGGATAAGAAGATTTAGTAGATTTAATAGCACTATATTAAGGTAATGTAAAGAATAAATTAAAGAAAAATGTAAATACAAAGCTCAATAATAAGATCGTGCATAGAAAATTTTAGCTAATGAGTCTCTTAGAAGGATATTCATGTTCTTAAATGATTTTTCACAAAGGAAGGCTGAATATTAATAAATTAACATGTAACTTTAAAAGTTAGATAAAGAGAAAATAGTACAGGTCAGAGCAAAAATTAAGGAAATAGAAAACAAAGATATATTAGAGAGGATCAACAAGGCCAAACGCTAGTTCTTTGGAAATACTAATAAAATTATCAATTCTCTGGGGGGACTGATGAAGGACAAATCTAAACATACAGACTATTAATTATTAAGACTTGACAACAAGACACAGAAGGGAGTCTAACAACTAACAACCACAGACACCTCCATTCCTGACCCGCATAGACTCCCATTCACTAGATTCTTTTTAAAAATTATCTTATTGTTGTTCGAGTACAGTTATCTGCATTTACCCTCCACTACTCCCCCTACCCCACCCCGACTATGCCTACCTCCCTCCCCTGATTCCATCCACCCCTTTGGTTTGGTCCATGTGTCCTTTGTAGTTGTTCCTGAATATTCACTAGATTCTTTAATTTCCTATCAGTTGAACTAACTGACAGGGTATCTTTCCCAAAAGCCAACAAAGCCATCACCTCAAAAATTACCATAGTGGCTGTCAAGCCACAAACCTTCGTGCATTCGCTTTAGCGCCGCACACCACCAAGACTTAAACGACCTCCGAGGGCACTACCGTTTCCTGCCATCACCCTTACCACTGCCCCTTTCAGGGCTATTGGTTTCGCACACGATCATAAAGGCTGTGAGGCTGTGATCTACTCACTCTGAATCAGGTGCAGTTGTGAATCCGCCCAGACATTAACTGTGAGTGACGTCATCAGGCGAGGAACATGGCTGCTCCCAGGCGTCCCTACATAAGAGACGCCATCTTAGCAGCTATTCCGTACACTGGGCTGTTCCACACAAGTGGGGGCGGGGGTGCCGTTATTCACGGTAGAAACCTTGTGAGTGAGAGCTTTGGCAGCACATAGTCTTTGGAACTGGGTTCTAATGGTCTATGCAAAGTTTACAGAAGTAGAGGTGGCAAACTCCTATCCCTGAGGAGAGAGGAGAAGTTTCCAGATCTTCAGTGGAGATACTACTGGGGAGAGGGGGAAAGGATTACAGTTTCTTCCTAGGGGATGTCACCAGAAGTTAGGATGGTACAGTCCTCCCTCCTGGCCAATACTATATGGCAAGAGAGGGAAGAAGGCAAGGTGGTACAATCCTCTCCTTGGAGATAAGGCCAGGAAAATGGGCAAAAGAGTAATGAAGGACCCTCCTGGAGTATAATGGCGGAAGAAAGGAGTGAGGTGTCGGGGTGGTACAATCTCCTCTTGATGGGAGGAATTAGTATGGAAGAGACTTGAATTCCCCTCAATATCGATTTCCTGCATTATCCCACTAAAATAGTAGCTGCGAATAATAATTACAATACTAGCCTTCAATATGGACAAGTAATGTTTTTCAGTATATCCTCCTGCAGAAAGCCTTCTCTGACAAGAGGTAGAGAGGGCTCCTTCCCTGCTGAATGCATTTCAAACCCAGCGCATTTCAAGTTTAGGCCCTGGGTAAACTTGAGTATGGATTGCTGGGTACCATAATGATATTCAGATCTCTCTGGGCCTCAGCTCAAAAATCAAGAGCATTAGATTGTCAACCTCACAGAGTATTCCATTTTCTTTGTCTCTTCTACAGTATTGTGAATTGAATAGGAAATAGAATGGCAAATGTGAGAATATTGCTGTAACACACATGCTTCTACAGAAATTATCAAAACTTATTATTGTCATAACTTCTCAACGTTTCAAATCCTGGACTCTGTTAAATTCCATCATCAATGCCTCCTTAGCTGATCTCAAACTTGGGCCTTTCTTTCCCTTTTCATTGAATTTTTTTAAATAATGTATTTTATTGATTATGCCATTACAGTTGTTCCCTTCCCCCTCTTAATTCCCCTCACCCTGCACCCCCCTCCCATCCACATTCCCCCCCTTTAGTTCATGTTCATGTGTCTTAAGTTCTTTAGCTTTTCCATTTCCCATACTATTCTTGTCCTCTCCCTGTCTATTTTCTGCCTACCATCTATGCTACTTATTCTCTGTACCTTTTCCCCCCTTCTCCTCCTTCCACTCCCCTGTTGATAACCCTCCATGTGATCTCCATTTCTGTGGTTCTTCTCCTGATCTAGCTGTCCTCTTAATTTGCTTTTGTTTTAGGTGTGGTTCTTAATAACTGTCAGTTTGCTGTCCTTTCACTGTTCATATTTTTAACTCCTTTTTCTTAGATAAGTCCCTTTAACATTTCATATAGTAAAGGCTTGGTGATGATGAACTCCTTGAACTTGACCTTATCTGAGAAGCACCTTATCTGCCCTTCCATTCTAAATGAAAGCTTTGCTGGATAGAGCAAGCTTGGATGTAGGTCCTGACTTGGACCTACTTCATGACTTGGAATACTTCTTTCCAGCCCCTTCTTGCCTGTAAGGTCTCTTTTGAGAAATCCACTGATAGTCTGATGGGAACTCCTTGTAGGTGACTGTCCCCTTATCTCTTGCTGCTTCTAGGATTCTCTCCTTCATTTTAATACTGGGTAATGTAATTATGGTGTGCCTTGGTGTGTTCCTCTTTGGGTCCAACTTCTTTGAGACTGTCTGAGCTTCCTGGATTTCCTGGAAGTCTCCAGGAAATTCCTTTGCCAGAATGGGGAAGTTGTCCTTTATTATTTGTTCAACTAAGTTTTCCACTGGTGGCTGTTCCTATTCCCCTTCTGGTACCCCTATAATTCGGATGATGGAACGTTTAAAGATGTCCTGGAGGTTCCTAAGCCTCTCCTCATTTTTTGAATTCTTGTTTCTTCATTCTTTTCTGTTTGGTCATTTTTTTCTTCCTTCTGGTCCACTCCCTTGATTTGAGTCTCAGTTTCCTTCCCATCACTATTGGTTCCCTGTGCATTTTGCTTCATTTCACTTAGTGTAGCCTTCATTTTTTCATCTAATTAGAGGCCAAAAATCAACCAGTTCTGTGAGCATCCTGATCACCAGTGTTTTGAACTGTACATCTGATAGGTTAGCTATCTCTTGGTCGCTTAAAAGTATTGACTCTGGGGCTTTGATTTGTTCTTTTGTTTGAGCCATAAGTTTTTGGTCAGGTTGTGCCTCTTATATATGAGTGGCAGAGCCTTGGGTGTTCACCAGAGTGGGGCAACCCAGTGGCTGGTTTGTGACACTGTATGTGGGGGCGGGGCTAGAGAGGGAACAATGGCGTTTTTTCTGCTCTCTTTCGGATTTCAGTCCCCTCTGCCACTTTCCACAAGCAAATTGGGTCCTTCTGATGCTGGTTCCCCGGGTGGGTGGGCTTGTGTATGTTCTACGTCCCTGTGGGTCTCTCCAATGAATTCTCCTGTGAGGTTGGGAGCCTCTCCTGGCACCTTTTCCATTGGTGGTTTTAGGCTTTATTTGCTGGTGCTGGAGCCCTGGGTTGTGTGGTATGTCTTGCTGACTGTTTTTGCCTAGTTTATCTGCACGCGGTGTGTGACCATGGTCAGCCCTGTGCCACCTGCCCTCCAGAGTTTGGCAGCCACCGCCTTTTCCTGCCGTGACCCCTCTCCACTGGCTGCTGACTCTGTCCCTCTCACCTGTCTGGTTGAATGGTTGTTGGACTTCTGTACAGTTCAATTTTCTGTCTGTTCTGGTTGTGTTTTTGTTTCTAAATCTTTGTTGTCCTTAATTTTGGTTGTGCGAGGAGGCACAGTGTTTCCACCTACACCTCCATCTTGGCCCCCTTTTCATTGAATTTATTGGGGTGGCATTAGTTAACAAAATCATACAAGTTACAGGTTCACAATTCCACAATACATCATGTGTACTCTATTGAGCCTGTTTTAAAAAACTCTAGCAACACCTATATTGTACTCTTCTGATCTGGATTCATGTCCCATATTAGTGATTCCATTATCAATGTCCCTTTATTTGGACCCTGAATTTAAACTGCTGCTAACCCTTCCACAATATATGCCCTTTATAGATTGAGAGACTAGGCATATGTTAATTCTCCACTATCAATGTCTCTCTGGTCTAGATCTCAACTATCAGACCCTGGTTAACTTTTCAACTATCAGCGTCTTTTAGATTCCTCCAAAACAGTCCTCTTTTATAGATGTCTGGTTTCAAGTTCAAACCAAAGAAGTAATGATGTTTGTAAAGTAACAGAGACCCAAGTTCAAGAACTGGACTTAAAGACCATTGAAGGTAGACATTTATTCATGGAAAAAGTCTGCTTATAGGCCTGGGCTTATGGCCTATAAAACGAGATACTAATTTCTGGCAAAATCATTAACTAACATTTTTAGATCAAACCAAGGAGAATGATAATGGATACATTAATATTTTTCTAGGATATAGACATGGAATAGTTAATGGAGGATTCAAGGTCAGAAGTGATGGTTTGTTATTCCAGAGATTAGATTATAAAAGACCTTGGCTGCCGTTTTGTGTGTGCATTCTTTCTCTCCATCCCTCCCTCCTTCCATCCCTTCGTTCCTCTTATCTCTCACTCTGGGAGAAGCTACCTGCTGTGTCACAATGGCACTCAGGCAGGCTTTGGAGAAGCCCAGGTACCAAGAACTCCTGCCAATAGCCGGTAAGGAACTGAGGCCTTCAGCCTGTACCCATGTAAATGAGCCATCTTGAAACTGAAACCTTCAGCCCCAGCTGACTGCAATCCAAGTTGATAATTTAACTGCAATGTTAGGAGTAACCCTGAGATAAAACCACTCAGCCAAGCCACTCCCAAGTCTCGATCCTACAGACACTGTGAGATAGTAAATTTTTGTTGTTTTAAGCTTCTATGTTTAAGAGTAATTTGTTACATAGAAATAGATAACTAATGCAGGCATTTAAAGGTTTGGTATTTCATTCATCATAGATTTTTACATTAATTTTTACTTTTGCAAATATTGTACTAAAACATTATTTATCTTGATTACTGAGTTTTTTGCCCCCCCCTAAATTTTGCACTTTGAGGTGAGTGCCTTACTTGCCTCACCTTAGTCTGAGCCCTGCTAAGAAACCTTGTTCTCTAAACTCATAGACAATCAGAAATTTTGCCATTTGAAATTGTATCAGTAAGAATAAAACATACCACTCTTGTTTGGAGTATCCAAGCCACACAGAGAAGCAGCCTCCATTTCTAAGCCAGGCTCTGAGCTTCAAATAAGGAGCATCTGGAGCAAACATGTCACATCTATTTTTGCTTTAGTGTTTCCAAATAAAAATATCCTTGGATCTACTTCACAGTCCAGAGGTAACATTGACTCTTTTACATACCAACATGCTTTACTTTGGGTTAATCAAAATACTTCATTTAAATTTTAACTAAGCTCAGTGCTTTCCCCAAACCCTATAGTAATTCTATTTTTTTCTTTGTTTGGTGAGATTTGGGCGATCAACCATCTTTGTTTGCTCAGGACTAAAGGGTTTAGTGAAGCAATGGACATTCACTGCTAAGATTAGGAAAGTCCTGGGAAAACTGGGACAAGTTGGCTACCGTAGATAAGATTCCCCCATGGTTCCCATGGTCTGTGGTTGCCCCTGCTGCAGCAAGTTATTGAACCCATTTGTTTGGGACTATGGATGTGACCCTGGTGGTCTTTATTATATAGGCTTTATCAAGGTCATTAATGTTGGAAGGTTTCACAGAGATTGACTTTGAGATCAGTCCTAGTATACCTTGATGGTGGAAAAATTAACAGGCTTGGGCTCAAGGTCCCAATCAGAGGGATATTGATGGAGTAACACTTAGTTGAAGGCTT